TTGACCTCACAAAAGTCTTGGAACCATTCTATCTTACTGATGACAAAAAGTTAGCCTTTATTACCCCAAGTAAAAACAGAGTCCTCTGTTTTCTTCTCCATCTCATTAGCATTCACATTGCACACAGAAGCATCATCTCTCATTCTTTAATGCATGCATTCTCCATTACAGTTTCACCTTAAAATGAAAACATAACCTTCATAGTTTCACCGCCAAACCTCTCTCTCTCTCCCCATTACATTTTCTCCTCAAAAATGAAAACATAACCTTCATAGTTTAACCCCAAACCTAGTCTCTCTTTGTACTCTACTCTCTTTCGTCTTTTAACAGATAAGAACAGACCATGGACCTGTCGACGTTTGGGAACGGGGACGCTAACTCATCGCAATGGGGCGAAGTGCACGGTCCATACATGTTGGAGGAGCTTGTGTGCCAGAAACAAAACATGTTGACCTCAAGAGGCATTTTCATGAACAGTAATCCTCTCAAGTACTCAACGTCTCTTCTTTTGCTTCAAATGTCAGTCATCATCATCACCTCTAGGCTTATCTTTCGCATTCTTCAACCTTTAAAGCAAGGAATGATCTCTGCTCAAGTCTTGGTATAACTTTCAAATATTACTTTCATTTTGTCTTACTGATCTTTTCGAAAAATGCTTTGAAACATTCTTGTGTATGTGTAGGCTGGAATTATCCTAGGACCATCTTTTTTAGGACATAACAAGAGATACATGGAGATTTTCCTCCCCGCAGGAGGCAAGATTATCATACAAACACTTTCAAACCTCGGTTTCATCATCCATCTCTTCATTCTCGGACTCAAAATCGATGCGAGTATTATAAAAAAGGCCGGTTCTAAAGCCATCCTCATCGGTACAGCCTCTTACGCCTTCCCGTTCTCCCTTGGGAATCTCACGGTTATCTTCATGAATAAGACAATGGGACTTCCCGGCGACGTGGTTCGATGCGCAAGCACCGTAATCTCCTTGAGCTCGATGACCTCATTCCCGGTTACAACCACCGTTTTGGCCGAGCTAAACATCCTCAACTCCGAGCTAGGACGGTTAGCAACCAACTGTTCAATGATCTGCGAAGCTTGTAGCTGGTTCGTAGCTCTAGCGTTTAATATCTACACGCGTGAGCGGACGACGACTAGCTTTTGGGCGATTTTCATGCTCGCAAGTCTTCTTGGGGTGATTGTAGGCATCTTTAGACCTTTGATCATATGGCTCACTGAGAGGAAAAGCAAATCAATGAACAACAAAGACGTTGTCCCGTTCTTCCCGATCCTCTTGATTTTGGCTATTGCTAGCCTTAGCGCAGAGTCGATGGGCGTCCACGCCGCGTTTGGAGCGTTTTGGCTAGGCGTTTCGCTTCCTGATGGTCCGCCTTTGGGCACAGAACTAGCTACGAAACTCGAGACGTTTGCTTCGAATATGTTCCTTCCCTGTTTCATCGCCATTAGTGGATTACAAACTAATTTCTTTGAGATCACAGAGAGCCATGAGCACCATGTGGTATTGATTGAGATCATTCTCTTGATCACTTACGGATGCAAGTTCCTTGGAACAGCGGCTGCGTCTGCCTACTGTAACACGCAGATCGGAGACGCGCTCTGTTTGGCGTTCTTGATGTGTTGCCAAGGTATCATTGAAGTCTACACTACTGTCGTGTGGAAAGACTCTCAGGTGAAAATAA